TGCTGAACAGCAGGACAGGCCCCAGCTCTCTGGTCCTGCCCTGCAAAGTGCCCCTGCAGAGGAGTCCTCACTTCACGAGGGTCCCCACTGCTTTGTGCCAGTGCTGACACCCCATCAGAGGCAGGGACTTGCTGATTCCCAGGCTCCATGGAATGGACCACCTAGTAGCAACCTGGCACCTCTAGCTCAACTCAAAATGACACCCTGATTTCTCACCAGGCTCCCCATCCTTGTCTGCAGCTTGGACACTGCCAACCTCCCTTCCTGGGAGGCTCTCCATCTCTCTCCTCAGTTCATCTCCCAAAAGACAAAGCTGGTTTGAGGTTCCCCTGGGACCCTCTGCACACCTTTCTGACCCAGTAACTTGGCCAAGCTTCCTCCCACAGGCTGGGACAGTGGTGGGCAGCTCTGGCTATGGAACAGCATTCAGGGAGGCACCACGGGAAGCATCAGTGTGGCTGTGCCCCCCAGTCACCCCTGGCTGGGGATCCTTCACACACCCTCTGAGAGGCCCAAAGCACAAACACACAACAGGAAAGGGACTAACCAACTTGTCTGCTCCTCTTCCTCACTTCTCTGACTTACCTGTCTGAGAAACCAAGGCCTGGCTGTGGTTATCCCCCATCTGCAGCACATACTGCACAGCCACGTGCAGAAAGGCGTCTCAGGAGTAACAGAGCAATGGGGCTGAGTCTCCTGCAGAAAAACAACATGTCAGGATCTGCACTGATGTTTTCCCTGGATTTGAAAGACCCACTCACTGCCTGGACCCCCCTTGCCCTCTGGAGAGTTTCCACTCAGCAGCCTGGCCACTCCAACAGACATGACTGCGAGGTTGGCCCTTGAGTCCACCAGGATCAGCCCATCAGCTGCAGAGTGGCTGTTCCTAAGGAACACAGCACATCCAAAAAATCCCTTCCCAGAGCAGCCAGAGCCTTCCCATGTCACTCCCCTTCCACGTTCCTTATCAATGGCTTGCATTGTCTTTGCTGTTGGTGTTCATGGGGTCGTTTTCTTTTAATGAGTAACTTCTTTGAAGCCTCCACCAGCTGTGCTGGCCCGAGGGCCAGTCTCACCCCACAGCCAGGACCTGCAGCTCCCCCTCGTGCCCCTCACCTGCTCAGGTTTCAGTGCCAGCCCCTCCCTGCTCCCTTCAATTCTGGAAAGCCAGAACAACCAGACAACCACCATCAGCCTTCAGCAATCCCATCACAAGCAAAACACCCCCCTACCTCACTGATCCTATAAACAGGAGGGGACATGCCAAGGGCTTGCCCCAAATGCAGCGTTTCTAAACCCAAACTACTCGTGGCTGCTGGATCAGTCCCTGTGAGGCTCCACAGCACAGCAGGACCCGGCGGTCTCTGCAGAAATGTTGGACAAAGAGCTACTCTTCATCTCCCACCAGGCTGGGGAGGGAGTGGGGCAGCCCCTGGGGTGCCTGGGTGGGTCTCCCGTGTGCCACCCAACCTGGGCTGGAGACGTTCAAAACCCACCTGGACACGTTCCTGTGTGATGTGCTCTGGGTGACCCTGCTCTGGCAGGGGGGTTGAGCTGGGTGAGCTTTCCAGGTCCCTCCCAACCCCTAGGATTCTGTGCTCCACAGCCCCTCCCTGGGCCTGTTCCAGCAGGATTGTGCAAACCCAAGCCCCGGCGTCTCTCTGCGAGAGCGACCTGGTCCAAACCTCCGGGGTGCACTTTGCTCTCTGATGGTGGTGACCTCACGCTGGCTCCCTGGCCAGTGTTTAAAGTCCAGGGGAGGGGGGTGTTCACCTGCCTCCTACGCACCGACAGCTCCTTCCCACTCTTGCTCATCTGCCTGGCCCGGGGCTCCAGCGCCCGCACCAGCCCTGCAGGATGCGGCTGCTTCTCCGGGCAGCGGTTCTGTGCCTGGTGCTGGGCTCAGGGCACTGCACCCAGGAGGCCAAGGAGAGCCCCGTCCACCCAGCTGCCCAGGCAGAGTCCCCCGCTTCAGACTGGGGCATAGGGGCCATCCGGGACAGCTTTGAGACAGTTAACAGCTACTTTGACTCTGTCTTGGAACTGTTTGGGGGAAAAAACGGCGTTTGCCAGTACAGATGTCGATACGGTAAGTGAACCTGACCCTGCTGGCTCCTCTCTCCTTGCCCTTTCCCCTCTTTCATGGAAACTCACAGCACACGCTGTCCCCGAGGCCACAACCATCCCTGCCCTGGCCCCCTGCACAGCTCGGCACAGTCCCTGCAGGGAGGCACAAATTCTCTGCTAGTGCCAGGAAAGGGACCCTGGACCCTCCTCTT